AACCATGTAAACCTAGCCTAATTCTAATAAGTTATCGTAATAAGGCACAAGTGGGGGCGCAGCTCAGCGGGCTGTCAGTACGTCTCATTAATGAACCGTATGTGCTAAGTAATCATATGGAAATGGGTTCAGATAAGTGTCATTGAATTATTTATAGTACATGCGTATCATTTGATAACGCAATGCTTTCACGTTTATTGCAATGCTTATCATAAGTGAAACAGAAAATTCTGGTAGTCTTGAAACATAAAACAAGGTATTTTTAAATGGGCTAAAGATGTACAAAATTCAGAATTAAAACGATACTGCAAGAAATTGAAACGTCTAATAAAAACTCTATGGCTGACATTATTTAAACGTGTTTTCAATAATTTAAAAATATAATTAAAAGAAGATTTTTGTACTTGCAATGAAGTATCTTCCCATAGTTTTTCTTTCCACATTAATCATATGTCTATACTCTGTACAGGTTAATGTAGGCATTAGCAATGTTAATTTTGAACAGCTATTATTAGAGCCTTTCTTTCTCATGACAATAAATCAGGATAGAGAGAAAAAGGTCTAATTTGACTTTAAGAATCATATAGTGAAAACCAAACCAATTATATCACAACACATATTAAACAACAACTGCCTGATTATGTTCAGTGAAAGTCCCAGCTAATTCACCGTAGATATGTGTTTCTTTTGCTGTTTTTAAAAAAATTGTTAACTGGTTTTTTCTACCCTATAGGAGTGTAGGTGGTGTAAAATGGGATGCCAGAGAGCAAACAGACCTAATGTCTTATTTTTAAATCTTAAGGATTTTTACGAACTAGTAGCTGCGTTATTCAACCAATGCAAAATATAAATGTCATGGATAAATTTTTACAGAGATTACAATGTATATAACATTGATCTGGTATTTTGTCAGAAATATTCATCAGCAAAGTTGGAATAACTATTTATTTAATTTGTCTCTAAAAAATTACTTTTTTAACTTTTTCTTTACTATTTTTTATTGTTACAATTTTGCCAGGTAAAAGTTCAGTAGTTCTTTTTACCCCACCCACGTGTAAGCTTTTATAGAGGTTATATAAAAACTGTTGAATCTAACTTAAAATTAACAATATATTTTATAATTTTTTTTTTACAATAAATAAAGTTACTTAAAAATTATATTAAGGCCTTGTAAACTAAATAATAGTGCTCACACAAAAAAAACTAACAACGAAAGAAAATACTTTTGTTATGGATTTTCAAATATTGCCGTTTTATTTGCGATGTCATAAGAATAAAGTTGATGGCTGGTTATTACATCTTTTTCTCTCTACTTTCAAGAATTGTTGTTAAAGAATGCTGAATTTTACTTGGTTTCGATATACCGCGCACCTTTAAGCTCCGCTCTACTTTATATATAAATAATGATTTTTTAACTTCCTCTAGGATAAGTTATTGTAATCGTCCAAAAATCGAAATTGAAAATTTTTACATTTCTCGATGTTTTGAAAGTTTTTGAACATTTTGGCATAGGTACCTCAGAAAAATGGATACAATTTTCGTTCACGTTTTGGAGCGCACGGATCAACCGATTTGAATGGTTCAAAAAACATTCGATTCCTATTGATAGGGAGATGTGCTGATTAGTTTTTGGCAAAGGCAGGTCCAGCAGTTACGGAGATAAAGAGCAAAGAGTGCAGAAATAGAAATCGAGTATTTGAGAGAACGGAGCATCCGATTTGAATGATCTAAAAAACATTCAATTGTAATGATTGGGAGAAGAGATGACTAGTTTTTGGCAAAGGCAGGCCTATTTCGAAGATACAGAGCTAAATGTGCAAAAATGGCAGTTTTTGAGAGAACTAAGCATCCGATTTGAATGATTCAAAGAACTTTCTGCTTGTTTTAAACAAATAATCGAATTTGGAAAAAAAATTTTGTTTAAAATTTTTTTTTTTAATTTTTGTTAAAAAAAATTTTTTTTTGTATATCGAAATAATTCAGATTTAATTTTAATTCTGACTAAAGTTCTAATATACTTTAAAAAAATAATTTCAACTTTGCAATTCAGTTTGCGTATATAATTCTTATAAATATTAGATAAGGTTACAGTATTTATTTATAATAGTCTATTTGAAAACATTTAATATTCCTCGAACATTTCGTTACGGTACGGGAAGTTCCAGCAATTTGCCTTAAAGCACGATGCCATACGCCCCACTAGTTTTATATTGACATAATAGCCATAAATGCTCGTATAGTAAAGCATGACAAAACTGGTATCGGCTAAAAGAATGTCGTGTCCAATATCAATATGACGTATTTGTTAATTGAATAAAAGTAATTCGCCTTCCTTGCACGGATATAACGTACAAATTGATTCGCACCGCGGCTACCGTGATGTTAGTTTTAATATCGTCGATGTTTATGTTATGAGCGCTAAACCGTTTTCGCAGATCATAAATAACAATGATCATAACACTAACATTACCTGTTACCGTTAACAGTGCCCGCGTAGCGATTTCGCGGTAATGTGCCATTAAATTGTATTATGGATAGAGCAAACACTTTCCGATGTGTCAGTTTATTCTATGCGCCTATTATCATTATTAATGGCAAGATATTGCTAATAGTCTATATACGGAAAACATATATTATTTCAGTAGATTAATATGCATAATTCTGTCTAGCGATTGTTGTGAAATTCATATTTGTGTTATAATACTTTATGTTCTAATTGAAAATTAGATAAAAAATATTTTCAATTGTAAATAGACCATTTTAGACACTGCGGTGTGAAATGGCAATGGGAAATCTCTCACACTATTCTTCGCTGAAACGAGTTGGAGTTTGACTCAGCTCATGGACCTGCCCTAGGGCACTACTATCCATTTCTTTTAATTTCATTAATACTTTATGTATTTATTAATACATATGCATAAAATTGTTAATTATGATGTTGAATTATATGTATAAAATCATAACAACCGCATGTTATATCATTATTAACGAGTATGAGCAAATTAGATAATTAGCAATGTAAAATATATTAATAATAATAAATATAAAGAACATAATTGGGAGTACCGAAAACGCTAAAACAGTCACTAAAACAGTGGATTAGTAAGTGATTGTAGTTGTAATAAAATTTAACAATGCTTTGGGAAGACAAAGACTTATTCGAATTCAATTTATAAATAATATTGATATTTTTCTAAATTACGATTTGTTCATATTACGAGGGAATTTAATAATTTTTGTTGATATGTATGTAGTGTACGGCTTGTTTTTGGCAGGCACCCAACTTAATTGAATTTTTTGACTTTTTTATTATTTTAAATGCTATAGGGGCGGAAAGCAATTTCCACTTGAGATTATTTTTGAGAACTAAAACATCAAGAAAAAATTTGACATGTTTTCTGATCTCAAGTTTGGCCGAG